ATTGATAGGGTTATATGCTTCTCAATTGGAGGTAGGTTCAATTCCTCACTGTGAATTTTTCTCGTGTCCTTGGGTAAGGCACTTTACTTACGGGTTTGTATCTCTCCACCCCGGAGTGGGAACCTGGTAGGTACAAACAGAAATTGCGCTGATTTACACCTAGCTTCAACATCAAGGAATTCTACGCTGGGAGTGTGCCATTGTGCCTGATCCGTGATCGGGGATGATGAAGTGAAGCTCTTAGAGGTCTTGTTTGCATGAAGTGCGATAATTATCAGGCTAACATATTAAGCCTAACATAGGCCTATGTTTTATTATAGGCCACCAAAAATCTAGTAATACCGTTAAAGAGCAAAATAAATTTGTATTTTTCACAAACTTGGTCGATGTTACCAAGGTAACAGCCAAATTTATGCAATAAGCCGCCATGGTAAAACCAGAAATGTTCGAAATAATAAAATATCCGCAGACCTCACAAAACCGTTCAACAGCCTAGAGGGCAAGAATATTCCTGTAAAAACGTAAACATTCGTCAAACAATTAAAGTTTTGAAAATAGATAGACTAGTACGTCTTGTATGTATGTTAATCAGCAAATACATAAAATACATGAATAAAGATGTAAAGATTTACCCAACAGAAGGATCGACAGCAAAGTGATTAAAGGTAGCTGTAAGCATGTCTGGGTAAGGTGTCTGCAACAAGCGAGCCCTGCTAAACCAGTTCATCTTATTACTCCTGACACCGTTAAATATCAATGTCATAACTTCTTCGCCGTCGTCATAGAAAGCAAATTTCACCTTCGAATAAATAGACCGGTTGGTTAGAGAGTGTTCTAAATACCTGCGTCATTGAAAGTTTAAAGAAGAAAACTTTAATTCTGAATTACTTATTTATCCTCAAAGATACTCCCTGAGAGAACAAGTTACACAAGTTACCTTCTTGATGTCCAGGGCACCCCAATTTTCCACCAATGAACTTTTGTAAGGAGCAGAAAAAGTGCCGTCCACTTTCTTTGCACCAGCAACATCATCATTTAACGTCGTTGCACCTTTCCACAAATTTAGCAGGTTAGGACTAGCAACCCCTGCGTTTCCTCTGAATACAACTTCCCAATCTGTGGAAATTAATTGAGATTCATAACGGGCTTAATGAAGGCACTCCCTAACCGAATATGCGTCCAGAAAATAAGCACAAAGAATTATGGAACTAATCTTGTTAATAGATTGTAATCCCTTATAT